TTATAAATAATAAAAAAGTGATTGGATAAAAACTGAATTGCTAAAATAATATAACAAAAAAAGTCTTTTTCTTTATTTTAGTAGTTTTAAAGTAAATCAAAAAGGAAGTTCTTATAGATATTAATAATTACAGTCGAATAAGGTATAGAAATAAAGATTGGATAATTTAAATTAAAATATTAGTTGAGTTTTTAGTTAATAGTAATGATAAAAATATATAGGATAATTACAAGTTGAAAGATAAAATGATTCTTAGTTGTAGTACATATAATAACAAAATCGAGCTTATATTTTGTTATCTACAATTGTTTACAAGTTGTTGAAAGCTTTATTTCTATCTATATTATAGCAAATTAGTATTATTGTTCCAGCTTATCTTTCTACTCTATAACTTTAGTTATACAACATTCTATATCCTCTCGAATAAAAATAATAGAAAGTATTTTTTTCGAAATATAATTCCTTAATTTTTCTTATAAATCAAACTATCAAAAAAGAATTAATTTTATTAAAAACTGATAAAGTTGTAATTTATCTTTATTACACTATTATATTTAATAATAATTGCTTGATATTAGAAAAATATTTTGTAAATCTTTTTAAAGAATAAATGCTTATATTTATACTTACTAATAAAATAAAGTAGGCAGTAAGTTTAATTAGATGATTAATCAGGAATTTAATAGTATATACTGTTCTCCTTATTAGAGATATAGCTATATATACAGCCTATATAAATTTAGTTATCCTTCTAAATATATTGTTTTCATTATAATATTGTTTTTTTTGATAATCTTTTATTTAGAGATTTTAGTTTATTAATATCAATAAAGCTAATACTTTTATAATAAAATATATCGAATTTGTAATTAAATTGATTTTGATATAAAGTCTTTATAATCTTTTTTTCGATAATCTCCTGCCTATTATTTTTAATATTATTAAAGTGATATATTATTGTAACTAACTTATTAGTAAACTTTCTTTTATAATTATTAATATAATTAATCAAAGGATTATATTTTTTCTCCGAATTCTATTTAGGAATATAATGGAATGGGTATATTCAATAAGTAAATCGAAAATCGATTCTACTTTCGAAGATATCATTCTTGGTAATTATAATTATACTTATTAGATAAGCTGATTATATATTAAAAATAAATAAATAAAAAACCTTACTCATATTTCTTATCAGAATCTAATTTATTATTTGTTTTATCAAAATCATAATCATTTCTATAGAGGGACTCTTTTTTCTTAGTAAGCTATTTACCTTGTGTAATAGAAAAAATAGCTATTCTTTTTTTTATAAGTTAAATAGAAAAATAAGTTAATAAAAAAAATATAGAAAAAACTATAAATAATTTACTATTATATATATATTTTTTTATTATTAAATCTGTACTGGTAATAGCTTGTTTTTGTTGTTATATTTTCTTTTTAAGATTGAAGGTATATTGATTAATAGATATAAGAGGGTTAATTAATAATAAAAAATTTGGAAAAGAAAAAGGATTCAATTGATCTATATACTTTATAGAATTCGATTGATTATTAGATTATAAAATAGTTTTTTTTGCTTTATATACACCTTCCTATTACAAAAAAGAAAAACCTATATATATATTTGTTTATTATATTATTTTAATTAAATAATAATAATACTATTTTGAGATTATTGATTTGATAACTAAAACAAATAATTATAAAGTTTAAGAGTAAGCTTTTTTGAAAGGAGAGGTAGTATTATAGATTAATATTCAATTACAATTACAATCGCTTATATATATAATCATATATATATAATCATATATATATAATTGATATATAAATATACTTAATAAATATTTTACTCCCGATTCTATAGTTGTAGATTTTAAGGATAAATTGTATCCTGCTCTTGCAGTTCTTTTAAGGCAAGGTGTTATATAAACTTTATTTTTAATTCTTTAATATTAAATACTTACTAACTTATTAAAAGCTTATTATTATTATTATTATTATTATTATTATTATTATTATTATTATTATTATTATTATTATTATTATTATTATTATTATTATTATTATTATTATTATTATTATAGAATCTAAATAATCTAAATAATCTAAATTAAAATCTAGAAAGAATCATTAAATAGAATCTTTATCATTTTAATTATTTCTATTAAATTATAAGAATAATAAGAATAATAAGAATAATAAGAATAATAAGAATAATAAGAATAATAAGAATAATAATGAAAATATTAGGCGCTTCGAAACACTGACGAGCTGACTCGCCCCGAAATTTTCAATGGGGTAGGGATTATTGATGTTGATTATAATAACAATGTATATGTATATGTATATATATCTATTCAGATTTGTAAGAGTGTTTAATATGTGAAGATTTTGAGGGGGGGAGGTTCGGGTGTTTTGTTTTGTTATATAGTACTATAATGTATGTATGTGAGAATACGATAAACAGCTTCTGAACATCAGAGACGCTTTGATTTGCGAGATGGCGTGGAGTGTATGTGGTGATACTATCAATTAGAAGGTTGGTAGGAATGAATGAATGGAGATCGGGGTAAGCTCAGTGTTTGTTTGGTTCTTTGTTCTTTAGTGTTTATTGGCTTTATATCTGATAGATACTTTGTCGTACATCTGTTTGTAGATATGTAGCTACATACTTCATTCTAGATGTGGAAGCTTGTTGCTTCTGGCCCGAGTAGGGCTACATGGAGTTGTGCAGGGTAAGCATCTTGCATGGGCGAGACTCGAGTCGTTGTATTTCTGAGATTGGATAGTGTTGTGATGAGCAAAGTAGCTTCTAGAGAGTAGGAACTACATGGTGCAATTGTGTAATTATATAGTTTGCAGAGTTGAAAATGTTGATGCAGATGTATTGATATATGACCTAGTGATTAGATATTTGTCTTCATTTTGAAAATGGGAAATCGCAATCTGTCTAGTAATTGAGTGTAAGCATCTTCATTGAGTAATAGAAAGGTCCTCGCAATATCCATGACAGTGACTTGACTGATGATCTCAACATGAGATGACAAGAGATATCTTCATAAATCCCACAAAATTCATCTCCTAAACCAAACCAAACCAAACCACATTAAAAGGGGCACTCTCGCTTCGCTCTCCCATATTCATCCTCATCCTACCCACTTCGCCATCCACAAGTTACAACCTTCCAAATGCCCATGCAACAACCTTACTCATCAACCTACCCATGTTCTCTCCCTATTCCCTGTGCATCTCCACCACCATCAAACACGGTCATCGATCCACCACACAACAAATCACATACCAGAAAACACTATCCACAAGATCTCCGCCACAGCCCCAAATTTCCACTTCCGTACATTTCCTACTACCATTCTCATTTTGGCAACACCAATATTCTATTTGTAGCCATTTTTCCGTTCTCAAAAATCATTGGTTCTCGACTCCGAATATCCCAAAACACATCTGCGAATCAGGTAAAGTAGCGGGGTCATCATATCTACGTCAGCAAGCAGGTATCCTGACTCAGCTTCCAATCATGTACCTTCGACCCTGGGGAATGCAAGCTTGGGGATTGGGAGGTATGCTTGTGACGGTTGTTTCTGATGGCGAATGCAAGGCTGATGTGATCCGATTCTTACGTCGGATGGGGACTGTCTGGAAGCTTCTGGAATGGAGATTCGACTCAATTCAACGGGTTTTAGACCAGAAGAAATATGATTAGGGAGTGTTCGAGTGGGGTTTGGTATCCTGATTGTTCTTATTGGGTGAGCTCTAGATGAAGTTTGAATAGACATTTTATATGGTTACTTTTGTCTCCTTTCTGTTGGATACTGAAGGGAGTGACAAGGTATGTTATAAGAAACGCATGATAGAAGGTCTAAATTTCATCGTAAATCTAAATCGCTTTTTTAAAAGTATAACCCCCAATCATATCCCAGTCCCTCAATCCATAAATGCATGTCGCCGTTAAATTGCCTAGCCAGTTCGCACTGGTAATGTAAAAATCTAAAACCGTAAAACAACCATAACATAATACATCACTCATCCAATATAGTAAATGCCAATTTTTCAACGCCCAATGTGTTGACCAGCAACACTGACAATACAATGATCCAGACCATATCTCATGCAAAATCCCAATACCAAATCTATGCCAGTTCCAAAAGAAATCCCATACCCAGAACCCCAAGCCTTCCAACTTCCATTTTCAAAAGAAGACTATGCACCAAACAAGATCATAATCCAATAATTGATAACAAGTTGTACATTTCGAGATATATATCAAGATCTGTAAAACCTCGACCGGATGTACATGTTTTGCCGAAATTCAAATCCGCAACACAACACTACAACAGTAACCGCGAGAATCAGGTCAGAAGTTTCATGCTAGTGAGACGACGAATGCGAATTGCAGGTGTATCCGACGAGTATTGTTCTTTCTTCAACATAATGCCCCGGTGTTCCGTACGCGGGACACATATCGATCGCGTGGGTGTAGTAGATACATCTGCAAACAGAATAACGTTCGACGAGTACGTAGCACATAATCTCAGGTTTATGGCTCAATGATAATCGCGATGTTGAGGTGGGGCAGATGAAGGATTTATGAGGTAAACTGGCGATATTGATCCAATTGTCAAGGTTATAGAGAGGTGTAATTCGAAAACGGGATTGAAGAGGGTACGATCTGCAATTTGTAGGGGAGATGACTTTCGCCGATCATTGGTATCTTATATAGCATAATTCTGCATCAGTCAACAAAAATTCAGCAAGAGAGAAGGGTGCCTTGGGGAACAATGATCCTTCAAGTCTTCGCCTCATTATTGTAGCTGAAGACTAAGGCTGCCATGACTGTGATGACTTCCACCGTTATAGACGTGACTCTTACGATATACGAGTGTTGAATCTCCGCAAGTGATTAGGTCTCTTCTAGGCTCCATGATAAAGAGCCGAGGTATGATGTCGAACAATGGATGTAGTTCCAAAGGGTTAAGATGAATCTGAGAGGATCTGTTGAGAGGAACACAAAACCGTTGACCGGTTTCAGGGGGAGTAGCATGGCTTTAGAGGCTGAGTCACTTGTCGTTCAGGTCAGGCACAGTAATGGCTTTATAGAAGTTCAACACAAAGCTTCCCATTGGAACAGATTCGATATATGCGTCGCAACGCATGGAATTTTAGTCATGTGTTTTGGAGTTCCTGGTGGAGATGCACAGCTGCAGCCCTATGGTAGGGCTGCAGAGTTCGTGTGCTTGGTATACATTACACTTTCGGCCCTTCTACAGGTTCTCAACCAGACTTTACTATTGGAGGTATTCTTTAAACGTTATATGGTGCCTGAAATATGCGGTCAGCAAATTGTTCCACTTGCCTGCAATTCTCTCGACAAAGTGTTTATCATTGCCTGTTTCAATCACCTCCAATTCTTGTACTCGGAATCGCCGTCACGATTCATGCAGGGTTTGCATTTCCGAGCTTGATTTGTTTGGTTAAAATGTAGCTGGTACCCGTAATGACACTTGAGAGATGATAGTTTGCATCCAGGGAGCCAGGGTCACTCTTTTCCGCCGAGACCCTGCATTGTATAAGCTACTGGTACGCGCCGAAGACCCAAGTCCGCACCTTTAGTGCTCTTCAACGTACTGATGAAGAAGTCTCACAGGTTGAGCGTACGACCTAGTATATTTCCGATGCATCTATCGTTGAGGCTTAGACCCCATGGATTTCAGAATCAGGTTATACCGGATGGATCTTTCGACCAAAACCCACAAATTGTAGTACTTTTCTGTAAAGGCGGTGACCTGGCGCTGGTAGATGAAGAAAAGGTGAGCGTAACGGTGAGTAGCGATCATGCGCAAGAGGTGGTGTAGATGTAATACGACATCACCTCTGCAGAGACTCATGCAACTTCAGGGGTGTTACATCAGCTTTACCAATAATGAGTATGACATATCTAGCGCAGCTAAATAGTTTCTCCTGTATTGATTCCATTGGGATCGATATATGTTGAATTGAAACCTTATAGAAATAGTTCTCTGCCTTGTTTTGCGAAATCGAGGGTCTCAATCGCATGCTATGGCTGTAAAACCACACTTGTTTTGTCATATAAATGTACCAAATCTGATTGGGACCCGAACGTTGCGTTGCCCATCATGCAAGCATGCACCAGAGTGACAGCTCGAATAAGCTTAAGCAGCATAGGATCTAGATGTTTCCGACGAAATCGGATAACTTCATGGAGGATTCGAGGAAGTAGAAAGAATCATAAGTCAAGCCCATTTGAATCAGGCCGCTTTTCTCATGCTCCTAACCTATACTTGAATAGAATAGCATTATGAGAAACTCTGGTCAGCCCTGCCACGTGGAAAGTTCAGAGGGAGCCGACTGCCTGAAGGGAGGTGGTATTCGTGTAGCTTTGATCTACGTGAAAGGTGGTTGTGCTACCCCGGATAACAGAGATGTCAAGTAGATGAACCGGCGGGGTGATGTATTGACATCATTCTTTCAAGGCAAGGCAAATCGCAGTAGCAACAAATTGATGATTTACAGCCATGTTGTCCAATCTTAAGCCATTTCCCAATGCGCCGCGTGAGGGACTTTTTCTGTCTGTTGTATGAATGTCGGTGAGCTTCAGGCGTTCTAAAAGGGAAGGTGACACCCTCGGGACTCTTCTACAATTGGGTTACCTCATCGAGCTCATGTGTATTAAATCACGTGATATATCGCCCGTCTCATATTTCGGTACGTGCGACGTCTACCGACAATTGGATACCATCTCATCTTCTCGAAAAGTTCAACTGCCTATGAGCATCTATCCAGGTATTATCTGATCACCTGCATCCGCAGATATCGTTCTTCATCATGTCATCAAAACCCTTCATCTCGAATTGCATAGCAGTATGTTGAAAAATCAGCAGTTGTGAGAAATATGCCATGCAGCGATGTGGTTGATAGCAAAACATGTTCTTCTAACGGAAGATATCCTGAGATATCTGCTTCATGAATGCAAACATGTTTGAAGATTTATTTGTAGCATCTTCTCACATTCGAGCTGTTGCAACAAGTGGTATATCAATCTGCGCGTAAGTGCTACGCAGTCGAAGTCGTGCATCAATATCAATACCTTATTCTAGACCTTTTGATTCACTAGTCATCGAGAGGGAGATCTCATTTCTGTTGCACAGCCCGCGAATAGTCTTGCGATTTATGTTGGTTTATCAAAGTGAGATTCGCTGAATCGTTATTCCCAACAGTGAGGATTCAGAGTTTGATTGGTAAATCGTATTCACTTCTCTATTTAATGGGAGCAACGCGTATGCTGATGGCACAGTTGCATTGTTATTCACCATACGCCTCAATGAGCTGGCACTACTCAAATTGGTTGTTTTCCTTTTGTATGGGCTTTTCTGATCGGATCAATAAGGTTGTAAGCCACCGCTCCAAATAAAGCAATATTCTCATTTCGCTTCATCACTGTGCCACTTAAAGGAAGCACGTTACCGAATCAGTCCAGCATATTTCAACTCCGCCTAGGGTTTGTAGTTTCAAAAAAGAATAGGAAGACGAAGATAATAAGCACTGCTTATAATTGTTTTCGTGAGCCATACCCTCTGCTTGTCTTGATCTCTTTCTCTTTTCTTCTCCGCCTTGTTTCTACACAAAATCAATCCCAACTTGTCTGAAATGTTTTCGAAAAATCTTAGACTAAGGCTACTGACCTTGGTATCAACGAGTGTCTTGTTAAACTCAGTAACAGCGGCGACAGTAGATGGCTGTGGAGCAGTTTCGAATGTCATCAAGTCACATACTCATGGTCATCCAACAGGTAAAACAAATTTCGTATACTTACAAGTGGTGACTAATGTGATCATCTAGCAAACACCCAAAGATTTAACGCTTCCATTGCTCTTCAATGCCTTCAATCCGTACCTCTGGATGTACAGCGCTCATCAGATTTTGTTGATTATATAGAGCCATTCTGGCAGTTCCAGAGTACTCTCGCCTATCTCAAAGACCCTCCATCAGGCTACCCGTTACCTGGCGCTGATATGCTAGGAGGTCTAGCTGAGATTAAAGAAAACGTCAATTCAGGATATTATGGAAATCAATGGGAGTTTGAAAAGGATCTTCATTCTCTGGGAAACATATTGCCTCATGATTTTCACGTCAACTTACCGCTTCCCCTGATGAGCGTTTTCTCCTTTTCTACTGCAGATGGACCATTGGTATCGATATCATCCGACGGCTTGGCCATGCCGGAGCTATATTTTAAATGTACGTACAGGTTTCTCAATTTAATCGATCGTTGTCTAAGAGCTCACCTTGCATAGATGACCTTGACAAGCAGAATAACATGACACTATCCAAAACAGGTAATTGGACAGCATCACCGCTGGTCAAAGTCAATGACCTGAATGCTACTTTACATCTTGAATTTCTCAGTCAGAGCACAAGTGCTTTTCAAGACAACGATGCCAACTACAATAAAATGTTTTATTCGTTACCGAATCTGGCTTTTTCCGGAGGCAGCGGAATGTTTACGTCTGGAGCATATATTTATGGATTTTCGGCCGATGTTATTCAATATACTTTCGCCAATGGAACCAGCACAAGCGCCCAAATTTATGCATCAACAAACCTCAATTTCACATCCATATCATCGGGACAAGATCTATTCAACGCTGTAGATCTACCGGAATCAGAAGCAGCATCTTCGAGTTCCTCGGCCTCAGACAGTCAACAGAGCACCAAAACTAAGACAGCAGCAAGATCAATTACATCACTTACCGGCTATCCCCAACCAATCGTCATGCATCCGGACGGGTATACAAGCGGTTACTTTTTCGAAGATACCATGACTGCAATTTTAGTAATGCAGGGGTTCAACGACCCTTATCAAAAAGAAGGAAAAGCAGCAGTCGAACAACAAAGAGTGATCAGTGAGTTCTTAGCTGAATGCCAGAAGGCCAAAATGGAATACTTGATCGTAGACGTACAAACAAATGGAGGCGGTTATCTATTCAGCGGATATGATGCTTTCAAACAGATCTTCCCATCTTTAGTTCCATTTGGAGCATCACGATACCGAGCCACTCCGCTGGTAAATTATATGGGCACCATATTCACTGGTGCCGGAAAATACGATAACAGTCATGATTACCTCTTTCAGACACAATCAGAACTTGATGGTAATGGACAACCATTTCAAAGTTGGAATCAGGAAGCCCCTAACGCGCCAATCTATGGTGATAACTTCACTGCGGAACTTCGTTACAACCTTTCGGATCACGTTACCATGGTGAGCCGCTCCCTCAACCGTAACTAACTTCATGCTAACTACTTCCATAGACCCAAGCAGGAGGCATTAATATCACAGGTTACCTAGACGAGAGCAACCCTCCCCCAGCGGTCTTCAATGCTTCGAACATTGTGATGCTTATGGATGGCGGTTGCGGCTCCACCTGTGCTCTCTTCGCCGAGATGATGAAAGCTCAAGGTGGTGTGCGAAGTGGTACGTTAATCATCTACTTGAATTTGTTCTTCCCGCTAACAATTCTTTAGTTGCCGTCGGAGGTCGCCCACAGCCAGGTCCTCAACAAGGAGTTTGCGGTTCCAAAGGCGCTCAAGTACTGACCTACAATAGCGTCGCATCTCATCTTGAAGCTCTACCAGACGCACAAGCAGCCTATCTTCAAAAAGGACTCGAATTGCCCGACTACCCAGCTCCCGAATACATCCCTAACATCAAAGCCAACGTGTCCCTCGGATCTACATCAAGACTGATGTCCGGTGGTCGTTTCAACCTTCGAAATAACATGCACGACGACGATGAAACATTCACACCCCTACAATTCCAATACGAAGCTGCTAATTGTCGTTTATTCTATACTAAAAATGATATCTATGATATCACCGGTTTATGGATGAGAGTTCAATCGGTAGTATGGGGAGGTCAGCCTTGTGTTTCCGGTAGCACTATCACCGACGATGATACAATGCCCTCTGGCGCCTACGAGACCGTACCATTTGGCGATTCTGCATTACCGAATATTGAATTACCAGCTCAGCCGGGCTTGGTACCTATTGGGAAGGGAGTCAAGAGTTGGGCTAGCGAGAGTGGAAACCGAGAAGATAGTGCGCAGAAAGCTTTTGTGGGGGCCATTTGGAATGGATTGCTGTGATTCTTGAGGGAGTGCATGGAATGGGGGTTTTTGAAATGAGAACACGTTGGTCTGCATTATGGGTGTTGGTAAATGCATATGCGGGGCGTTTTTGGGAAGATTGACCATGGATAGAGGGTAATTGATTGATAATATTGCATTGGATGTATTCAGCGAAGGCGTGGGGAGTAATAACATCACGCGAAGTGGTGTGAATTTATGATACGAATTAATCAAGACTGTTTTTCTATGATGTCTGTTGAGCTCGTGTTTCCCTTGTCTCGGATAATAATGATCGAGTAAAGCGTTCTGCAATGCAATACATACAGCTCACCAGCAAGGATTGATATATTTGTGGAGTATATCGCTGTGATGCTTCCCAGCTAGGAGCTAGATCCGTCTCTTATTTATTCAATTTCAGGTTTCAAGCTAGACTATTGCAGAGCTGTATATGTATAAAACGACACGTTCATCCGCGCTTTTGAATCGCCATTGAATCAGGCCGCCCTTGGGTATATCCTTAAAACGCCAATATCAACCTCACGAATTGTGCTTCTAATGTCGAGTTTACGTTCCCTCATCCATCGCATCTCCGTCTCCCTCTCCATGTCCGTCTCCGTTTTCTGGTGGCGCAGCATGACTCTCAAACATCCCTACAACCTTCTCCAAATCCTCTACTTCTCCGTTCCCGAGTTTCCTTCCCTCGCCCTGCCATTCTCCATCTCTCACTTCACCTTGCGAACCTAGCTCCAAGCCTCGCACGTTTTCAAGATGTCGTCTCGTTTCCTTTTCAATGAATTCCAATCTTTCTCTTCTCCAACTCTTCTCTTGTTCTCCCACCATTCCAGCCATGCCATCGCCTTCCGATAACTCTTTCAGCCTTGGTCCTAAATTATCCAGTAACTGTTTAAGCGCAGGCAATTGCGCCAAGGCGAATTCGGTCGTAGTCGCAATAGGATGTTTTCCATCTTTCGTCAAATTACCCTTCTTCTGCAAGAATGCCAACGAGGGTCGCTCATCATCCTCAACATCAACTTCCATCTCCGTGCCATCCTCAGCCTTAACAGTTTTCTTAGCCGAACTTTGACTTGGCGATATGATTCCTTTCAACGCCGCGATAGTTCTCTCATTCCTCTCCTTCTCTGCCCTCAGCACCGCATTCAATTTCATCGTCTCCCTCAACCTCTTCCTCTGCAGCGTAACCGTTTCCGATGTGGGCACTCCATCCGCCCCCGCTCCATTTTCCTCCACACTCCTGAAATCCAATCCTTCATAATGGCTCAATCGGATCCAATCCCTGACATCCGGCGGCACAGCAAAAACGTTTCTCAGCAAATAAATTTCCATCTTATCGAAATTCTTATCAATCTTCGCGTTGAGCAATGTTTCGAGCTTGTAGACTCCGTTTTCGATTTCGTGCTGGCATTGTGTTGCAACTTCTTCGGCGGAGAGAGTGGAAGTGGGTGCGAAGCCGATTGAAGAGGGAGGAGCGGCGAAAAGACCTTTTTCGAGCGCATCGATGGCTCGGAATGCGAGGAGATTGATACTGTTTATTATGTCGTCGATGACGGCCTGGCGAAGATGTCAGAGACAGACAATATTTCAATCGGGCAGTATCGGTATAATCACATCTCAATAACTTACAATTGGTCTGTATGTCAAATGCTCCGTGAGGAGAGCAGTGTCTGCGGCACTCATGGTTGTGGTAGATATTAGTTTGCGCCGGTGAGGAAAAGACAACAATGGCTAGTTCGGATATTCAAATAAGCCGCAAAGAATGTTAGAGAACTCGAAGATAATTAGTACAGACAATTAATCAAGTAATGGCACAAGTAGAGAAGGGTAATTCTACTGCGTGGGAAAACCTTGTAGAATTGATGTTGAAGATGTTGACAGAGAATTGCGGGGGACGCGTTTGGCAGGGATACATTTTAGCGCGATTTCGAGTCCGGTACTGTGCGTGTGTGCTTGCGCTCCCGGTGAACTCATTCGCGCCTCCCCGGTGACCCCTCAAATTTGGCGAAACCATTTTCTTAATACAGCTAATGGTAAAACTCAATTATGACTACGTATTCAATTTTTAATTTTTTGGAGAGAGAGGGGGGCAATAATTAGGTTCTATATCGGCGAAAAACTATATTTCTGAACTGCTTACCTATCTACCTACTGTGTCAAAGAATTTCAAGAGAGGTTACACATGAGAGATGTGAAATGCACTTGTATTGAAGTTACGAACTCACAATTCATATTCTACTTTTCCCGGACTCCCAACAAAACTTTACTTTCGAAAATGGTGGATATGTAAGTGGTCTTCTTGTAGTGAGATTTCTCATCTATAATTTTCCTACACAGATATGCAATGACTCTTCTTTTGAGCTAGGGGGGTAAGTCAAATGCGAGAGGAATATTCGCGTGCGCGCAAATGTAAGCAATCGAGTTGAGAACTAGAAGGATAGAAGGTCATATTGATACTATACGATCATTAGATCACAAATTTTGGCTGCTGGCAAATTTATAGTTGATTCTGCTGCATTGTTATTATCAAGAACCATGAAGGAAGTTTAAAGGGAGAGAACGGATCTCCTAGCGAAAGAGGAGCAATGTTTCAAACGCAAAATGACGACAACAAAACAATAAGCACATGCCTCAAAACTCAAGAGTCATGCGGTACCAAACTTAAACGCAAACAGATAGATCTTCGAGGAAGGGAAAGGAGAGACATTCAAACCATTGATCAAAATGTGTGGTATCCAGGCACAATCATAACCATAAAACATAACGATCGTGTGCATATACCCCGGGTTGATCTGCTCAGCATAAACCCAAATACGCAAAGATAGTAAAATCCCCACAATATTTAGGGTCAACTTTCCCATGGCCCTTTGAATCTGGAGTATTGGTTGATGATGATCCGGCACCAACAGTCATTGTAGCTACAACAACCAAGCAAAAAGTACACGGGTTGGGGATGTACAAGATATCATTGCCCTCTGTCACAGTGTCGTCACGAGCTATCAATGAGGTAGCTATTGCGTCTGCGATTGTGGTGGTGGGAACCCATTCGCGAACGAAGGTGTCTCCGACGCATATAAAGCTCGAGGTTCGATGCTTGCAGTGCTAGAATACTCACTACAGCCAGTTCCCCATATTGTGCAAGTCGAATCACTACCTTCGATGAAACCGGTTGTAGTATGAGTAGTAGGCAGGCCAGAGTTAAGCTTCAACACATCATTATTGAGACTGTTTGGAATATTTCTCCCATGTGTGATTGCAAGGAGTAATGCGAGGAGAAAGGTTGCGACCTGAAAGAAGCGGCACATCTTAAAAGATAGGGGGCGGTGGGTGATCAGGTGATCGTGCTGAGTGTGATGCTAATTCAAGGAGTATATTGTAAGGAGTCGAAAGAAAAGAGAAGTCTGGCTTAGGGACTATGAACTCACAACGTTTTATATACTTTCCATATAGTAACAACTGGTATTAAGAGCAATCGAGCCACAGTTTTGGGAGCCCATACGTATCTTTTCCATAATCATAGATACTGTTGTTGGCAACCATGATAACAGCTGTTACAAAGGAGGGCTAGAATAAGACGATCAAGTTCCCATGAATATAGCAACAACATCTAAAATTGCTGTACTGATACTAATTGTAAGAGCATATACAGTTTGATGCCGTCTCTTCCGACCCGGTCGACCTTTTTGCGGCCGGATAGTTACTCAAATCCGAAAACACCTGGTGACAAACCACTCCAACATTTGAAATCAGACCACTCTGATAGCCACAGCGAAAGTTTATTTAGCAAAAGGGTATTTTTAAGCCATACCATAGTCATCTGATTGTGCATTTGTAATGCTGCGCTTTCGTTATCTACTCCGTACATGTATACGACTGTTTGTCTAATTTTGTCCAAGACACTGTCTTGTGCGGACAGATTTTCCGAGTGTTCGTACAATCTACAAAACTCAAAAAAGGGGACCAAGATTGATTAGATTATAGATGACGGTGAGTATAATTTCCAAGACCGTACGACGATAATGTTATAGACGACACCATCTTATTTCTAGGAGATTGGACTAATTTCCTGAACTTTGGGGTTGAATCAATGGGCAAGTGTTTGGCAATGAGAAGTTTGCCCGATGAATTGGATAGTCACCATGGATCTCACATTGGCATAATAGTCATCGTTTACGAATCTACAGCATAGATTGAAGATTGAAGAATGAATGACATGATGTGGAAGAGGTACTTAATCGATTTAGGTTTTTACCCATAACTCCAAAACGGAGTGAGTGACAGTCAAACTATCCTCTCTAGCGGATTAATCGAGGTCCGAGAGTCCCCCGCCGGATAATGCCTTGAGAGAGCGAGATTGTGGCGTTAACACTATTGACAGTGACAGTGACATGACTTCATAATTCGAGTATGTTATTATTGCTCAAAAGTACGGAGTAGGAGTACGTACCTAGGCAATTCAATTTTAGACACACCAGGGATATTTTTCTACTCCTAATTCTGAACGTATCGGGGGTGGCGGACTATGTACTATGTACCTGCCTCGCCTACGGTTGCATTCCCCAAAGCCCGTGTACCTGTCAGAATCTTGAAAGCTGACGGCAAAGCTTGAAATTTGAAATTTGTTACTCAAGGTACTTTCGGAGATATCACCAAATCCTTCGACGGCCCGGGGCGTAGGAGTTTTCCGCCAATTAAACTTTTATCATGTTTCCATGTCATCGGGACAAGTCCTGTTGTGTGACACGGCATTGCTCTTCTACAGTAGCTCCTTCGTTCGAACTCCTTCAAGAACCGGCATGAAAATATAAAATGAATGATGGTGTGATAAAAGTCTTGGTGACCATTACCAAGTTGAACTTGTAGGAATTAGTCTACAATTAGTGGCGATTAGCTACGATTAGTTGCTAATACTGCCGGTGCTACTCAGCCTACAACACCCAATTTTCCGAAACCAGAATCACCAGAACCTTATTTCGTAATCACGACACCTTTTTCTTCATCACAAAAAGGAATAACCATGTTGTGAAATCCATTTACAGGAAGAAAAAAAAAGCTTGTTGCTATATAATCTTTTCTTCTCTTGCTGTGCACTATGTTCACATGCATAATTCCACTATTGTGTGCTTCGATGGTCGCTTGCCTTGTCTGATTCGTTTATTGTACGTACTCGGATGGTATAATTTAATTAACATCCGACTAGACCTTGCGAACTCATTATTATTGTACTTCTAAATGTAGTAAAGTGATGAGGGGCTCCAATCTATTCAAGCGAGCTGCTTGGCCCATAAGACACGTTTCTCATATCCGGTACCTTGCAAGTTCTAGCAGGGTGTATAAAAAATTTAGTCTAGATCTAACTTTGGTACCTGATATCCGCTCCAGAGAGAAGGGGGAGAGGAGAAGGAGGAGAACAGACTCAACATGAGAACGCCATCTGAGATCCTGTATGCGCGGACAGTTCCGTTTTATGGCCTGCAATAAGTATCACAGTTTCATCTATTTAGTTTAGAGAAACCCAATTGGATGGATATTGGAAAAAGCCATTGCTTTTGCACATGGCAAGCTTCGATTTTCTTGCTTCTCCCCCAGAGCTATCTACAAAGGTGTGCCTAGGTCCTGGTATTTCTGTAGCCATTGATCGAAAAATTCTCCGGGTTGATATGGAGCCGTGCCCTTCGTTCCCATTGTTTTATTTCTAGAAAACTTGTATCTACCTCGCGCAGTCCCCCATTACTTAGCCTTACGCAATTCGTACAATATTCTAGATCTGACCAACGCGTGGGATCTTGCCCATCACTTTTCATCTCCTCCTCTTGCTTTGGATGACGATGAAATTCCACTAGAGTTATTATGAGTTCTTCGCGCGCAGTTCATCATTTTGTATCCCCTGAGAGAGAGGTCAATGCCGGCATCTGGTCCCTTTTCGGCGGTGCGACTGTATGTCTCGTTCTTCGACTTTGGTGCAAGCTGAGGAGACAAGGCCTTTGGTGGGACGACTATATACTCATACTTTCCTGGGTGAATACACTTTTCCAAAATATCGAGTCACGAACTTCGTCCAGCTAACCATCATATACTAGGTGGTTCTTCTAACAACCGACATCTTTATATCCTACGAATTTGCGACCGGATATGTCGTCAAGACTTGGAATGATCGAATGTTGATTCTCGTATCCATATCATCCTGCCTCACTACCGCCGGCCAAACATGGAGCAAATCCGCCTTTGCAGTAACTCTTCTAAGGATGACAAACAACTGGCAAAAATTTATTTGCGTAGCCACCCTCATCATCCTCAACATCTTCCTCGTCCTCAAAGTCTTTGTAGATTGGTCCAAATACTGTGGTAAATCCGGATATCAGAACTGGTGGAGGATGCCTGGTTTCTGTGTTGATTACCAAGCAGCAGCTAACATCAAGGTTGGGGGAAATAGTGGGTGCCAAAATCCATATGATAAGATTGTCGATCACTAACGTTTCCCATTTAGTCTTCAATATTGTGGCGGACTTTGTACTGGCTCTATTCCCATGGATGGTCACATGGAAATTGAAGATATCTTTGAAAGAGAAGATCGCTCTTTGCATCACGATGAGTCTTGGGGTTGTGGTCGCTATCATCTCAGCTGTAAGAACTGCTTGGATGGAGAATCCAAGTGTCGATGCCTATAATGATTATTATTTTTGTAAGTTTTGAGAAAAACATCATCTTTACACTCCCCTCCAACTCCCTTCCCTCTCCATATCCACACAACATCCACACCCCTCCCATACTCCAACCAAATCATCCCCAGTCTAACAAACCACCAGGGCGCCAAGGACTATCCATGGTCTGGTATTCTGCCGAGGTCGCTGGCACCATCATTGTGCAATCCATCCCGCTAATGCGACCCCTCGTAAACGACATGCACACCTCTCTCGCCTCCAAAAAGCTAGGATCCGGCGCCGACGGCAAAAGTTACGGTCCGGGAAAATCAAACAAGAGTACGAACCGACGAACTCTTACTCTTATCTTGCAAGGATGTGATGTGAAAGATGACGAAAATGATGTAGAAGATCAGAAGAGAGTCGATGTTGATCGAATGCATCTGACTCAGGATGAGAATGGGAAGATTGTACTTAGGAGGAGAACCGACTCGGGGGGAGATGTAAACGCGTATCAGAATAGTCGCGTGAAGAGTTCTGCTAGGAGATTGGAAGAGGAGGAAATTGGATTGACGGAGGATCAAAAGGACAGGATGGTGGTGAGTAGTGAATACCACGCTAATGGAGGATCTTTGGAGGATATTCCGGAGTATCATGCTCATAGAGGACCATTGGAGGAAATCCCCGAGTATCATGCTCATAGAGGACCATTGGAGGAAATTCCCGAGTATCATCCTCATGGAGAGCCGTTGGAAGAGATACCCGAATACCGTACGATTGGAGGCAAGGAGCATATCCCCATGACGGAATTCCATGCTGTCACTTGTTAATATGTATATATCAAACCCATGTAAATAATTTCACAAAAAAAAAATGAAAAGGTTCCAAAAATATATCTTCTATTACAACAATATCTATGAATTTCCAAATTTTCAAGAAAGTTTTATTCGCTAACGGTCCTTTGTATACCGGAACCCGCATCCCCCTATCCAAATATCTGAACCTCAATCCCATAATCCCATAGTCCGATATATATCCACATCAAAACTTCGCCACCCTCTCCTCATACGCTCTCCGTTCCTTCTTCATTACTCTATCGACCCAAAAATAACTCGACGTCGCCCAAATAGCCAAATAAGCAAACAGCACCCCCAACGACAACCCAAACGCATAATGGAATTCCAGCGACCAAATGACCGCGCTCAAACAACCCAGATAAACCATGACGCCTAAAATCCACCACAGCGTCAGATGTAAAAACATTCTTCGAAACCCCGGCGAAGAATCATATCGCGCATTATATCGCACTCGAAACTCTCGGTCTTGCAGACCGTCCACCGCGATGAAATCTTCCGCCGCATAGTATATAAATGGACGCATGGGGGAGCCCCGCGCGTGAGAATTAATCCCGATGGGAATCTTAAACGGAATAAGTGAGATCACCATGACGATGCCGAGGAAACTCATTAGGAAGCCCGGAGAATAGAGATACAGCTCCGGAATCTCGAGTTCGCTTCCTACCACAAACGGGATGAGCGCCATCAGCATCGAAACACCATATACCCAGGACGTGGCATCCAATTCCCATTTAGATCTTGAAAGCAGCGGAGCACAGAGATCGCGATACTTGAGAAGCCGTAAGACGCGCACGATCAGGATGTAGAGTTCGCCGAATCCGAAACAGATGATGGCGTAGCCGAGAATGTCTTTGTCGTATTCTGGTTTTTCGAGTGGACATTCGTTTTTGGGGTATGCTTCGCAGGATTTGGCCCAGCGGGCGCGATGAATGTCGAACCAGACGTAGTATATTATGCATGGGAAGACGATATCGGAAAGGAGGATAACGGCCGGACCGATGGTGATGGAGAGGTGATCTGTTGGTTTCGGATTTTTCTGTGCCAGTTTTTCATAAGGCGGGGGTGCTGGGAGAGCGCTGCTTCCATTGTCAGAATCTGAGGCGAGAGCTGGTGTAGCGTTGAAAATGGCATTTCCATTGTCTACGGTTTCGACTGGAAGGTAGGCTGGTATTTCTTCGATTGTATTATTGTGCGGATCAATGACATTGATGCTAGGGGCCTCATTTGTGTATTCCGGACCTCCAACTGCTCCATTCAGAGAAACGTTCGCACTAGAACCTGGTGTTAAAGGTCTTCCTTCTTCTTTCTTTTCAGCATCGCTGACGACCGGCGGAATTCCGTTCTGATTCTGTCCAACTTCTATCACTGGTAACTGCGGAGCTCCGCCTTCACCAGCCCCAGTTGCTGTAGAAGCCATGGATATATATATTGATATTTATATGTGCAGGGAGGGAGGTGATACTGCTGATGTTCAGCAAAAGTACATTCCTGAAATATAATTGAATGGGGAAGTACTCTTAATGATCTGGGGTTTCTGAACCTTCGAGAAAGATCAGACAGCACGTTTTACTAAGGCGAAGAGCTGTCTTGTTTCAGGTAGGTAGGACTTCAAGAGCGCTTGAAGAAGCTAGAGTACGCTAGTGCTCCTGAGGTGTTTCAACATGTAAAAAGGCCTTCAACTATCCGCAGTGGTATAATAGGCTATGCTGGCTTCAGATTAACACGATGGTCGTAAGCCTTTTGCTGTGTGGGTAAGAGAAAGGAAAAGCAGTTGAGTGATAGAGGAAAGGGAGGAATAATGATGGTTAAGATCATCTTGTAAGATCTTGCCTTCCACCATCAAGAACAGTGGGGATGCTCAGAGAAAATCGATCAAACATCACTAGTCATCATGGGAGAATTCGTTCGGGGTTCAAAATGGCATTCTAGAATCAGGTACCAAGCGCGGTGGGAGATGAAACTGATGTATACGCCGGAGCTTCCATCAAATATTCCATCCAAAAGATACCTAGTCCTTCAAGAATCTTGATGAACTGCACTGCTTGACTCGGATATTACGTCTGAGCAACGTTTTGAGAATTAATCTGCACTTTCCAAAAGATTCTGTTGAGTCTGTTCACCAACTTGTGGAATAAAGTTTAAAATTTATTCCCGTTGGAGGTTTTGCGCTGATATATGTAAGTGGTTTCACGACTCGCGAGCCGTTTTAGTACTCTCCAATCAACCCGATAACCCACTTCGCGCATCTAATGCAGGGTCACTGCGGCTACTATAATAGTGCCCTAAATTCGGCATCGGGCTTCTTGATCACTGTCCTGCAAAACTGAGATTCTCCAGTTAGATTGCATTGTGCAGATTATAAAATGGGACCGGAAGAGGGATTCACAAACTCAAATTATTTAATTCGCCCCTTTTCCGCCCGGCCCGCTTCCTGCCATTCATAATTTCATACAGCGAAAATCCAATCGACTAAATTACGAGCCATTTCCTGGCTATGACATTTGCCAATTTCTTGTTACCTGTGACCATACAAAGAATTTTGAGATTGTGTGCAGTATCAATTTCAATATCTTCTCGTGAGCTCTCATGGCCATCGTTCTCTTTCAGTACACGAAGGTAGTATTTTATCGCAAGATGCGAGACACCAAGCATATGATAAACTCTGGCCAGATTGTAATGAGCCTCCTGACGTTCCTCGAGAATGATTGACTGTTTGCGTGAGTTATAATAATCGAAAAGAAATGTCAGACCTTGAAGGATCATGAATTGCCTATTATCTGCTTGTCTCTTGAGCGAGTGATGAACATAAGCAAGGCCTATGTTCAGATTGATGATAGCATTATTTGGATCAAGTGCATAAGCTCTCAGAAAATAGTCTAAGATTTGTTTCGTTAGAAAATGATCTGTCCAAGATATCAGTTTGGGTTGAAGTACTTAGAGAGTATGCATAACTTGTTCCCGAGTAAAGGATATGGCCGTATAACATCAGGAGAGCGACGTCCATATCATCGTTAAGAATTGGTTTTCCATCCTTGTCCTGCGACGTGTAGCCGGCTTTCTCTGCATAGCCTCTTTGACGACGAGTTTTATCGACAAGATTGAAATCCATGGCCTTGACTTGGCGAAGCATATACTTTTGTTCGGGACCTGAACAATACCACGAGACTGGAGATTGACACAACCTCGCTATGGCTGCGTACATTCTGTAAGAATCTGTGGTGAATTGATATTCTCTCATGAAATATCTTGCCACTCTGATACACATCTCCTCGTCATTACAGAGCAAAGCACAAGCTGTATGACAATTAGTAAAAGCTAACTTCTCGAAAACTATGAACTTACTGCCCCAGCATACATGAATCAAGAACATATCCTCGCGCTTGTGATAGAAGACAATTGCGTCCCTAGCGGACTCGCAAATCTCATATGACTCTCTATCATGCCCATCCTTCGCGAGACAAATTGCGTACTCGAGAAAGATATCCAGCCAAGAACTGAACGAGATACCACGATAATCAGCTGGAATACTAGCAGATGTAGCACTATTTCGGTCCTCAGCATCGGCTCCGAGTTCTAAAAGGGTCAGTAATTTATAGGTAGAGTCAAATATTAGGAAGTGTTTACTAACTTTTTGACAATCGATCAGCCATCTCCGTTAAATCAGTCTCCAGTTTTGTCTCCGCTTGAAATTTATCGTCATGAGTATAACCCAAGAATTTGACATATTTATCCCAAGGATAAAAAGTTTTAAAGGCTCGAAAATCATCAATGAGATCTTCAGCAGCCTCCATCCACTTGTAGGTTGCTGTTGGATCCCCGGCTCTCATCTGTTCAAGTTCTGTTTTCATAATAGAGTATTGGTTCTGTAGATGTTCCGCTCTGGCGGCCTCTTCCTTCTTCCTTTCGGCTGGATTAAGGAGCCTGCGTGGCGCATAACGAGATTGACCTCTCCGAATACCAGGGAATGACGTATGTTTTCTACGTGGCTTCTTAGAAGGTGCAGAGTCGGAAGATCCTGTTCCAAATGCTGGGCTCTCATTTTGACGTTGTGTTCGTCGAATTGCTATGATTTCATTCACATACATGAAAGACTGGTCTTTTTCGTTCAGTCTTTCGTAAAGTTTAGCGAGCTCCATCCTTGCTGGGATATTGTCCACCTCCATTTGTACTGCGTTTTGAAAACAGAGTTCGGCCTCTTGGTCAGACTTTTCACCAAGCCAACACTTACCCATCTTGAATTGCAGCGAAGCACCTTCGGAACCAACGCCTGGTGCCAATGGTAAATAGTAATCCAAAGCATCCTTATTATAACCCTTTTCGGCCAAAGTATCAGCTACTTCCTGAAAGAGGTGAGGAAATTCTTCAACGAGACTTTGGTCATTATAGTCAGAGGTTTTAAGATAATTAAAATGACGCTGGGTATGTTAGAAACACTTTTACACAATGGAGAATGAGAGGGCTTACCATAGCCTCTGTATAATGACCAAGGAATAGCCGGTATAGTCCAAGTTTGACTCGTAGCTCGACGGGCAAGCCTGGGCCATATGTATCTAATGGGAATGTCTTGGCATCAAATTGGGAACATTCAGATCTTCTAATATGATCATCGTCCCACTCTCGATCATCATCAACGAATTTGTCCCAAAATTCTTCTTCACTTCTTCCAACTAACCAACGAGCTACCGACCTGAGCTCCTTGATACCTTCAGTATATTTTTCCATGAGCCCAAAAAGCTCGATGTATGCATAGGCATCTGTCCAACCAAAGGGTGTGTCAATTTCTACATCGGCTTTCTTGAATTTATCGAGGGTTTTTGTGTAAAGTTTCATGGCGACCTCTACCTGCCCTCGATCAACGTAAATCGACGCTAACGTCTGAATAACTTCTGTATCGAATGGGCAACGCTTGAGAATGATCTCATATTCTTTGGCCGCGTGACTAAGGTTTCTTCGCTCAAGCATGAGAGAAGCTTTGATTCTCCGAGCCTCCAGATCTTGTGAATCCGCTCTGAGGATTTGTTGAGCTGCGTATTGAGCAGAGATAAGAAACTCTGATCTTAGATCGCCAGTCTCATTCAAAGCAAAATTCAAGGCGGCATACCAAGCACCGGGATGCTTCGGCCTCCAAGTCGCAGCAACCATCAGAGCCTTGACAGCCGAGTTGTATTCGCCCAATTCTTTGAAGCAAGCAGATAGTAAAGTCCATGCTTCGTAAGTCTCTGCATTAATTCGAACAATTTCCGCAGCTATATCTCTAGCCTCTTCACAGCGCCCATTCAAGAATGCATGATTGGCTTGACCTAACCGTAATTTGATATCACCAGTTGGCTCCGCTGCTTTCCGTGGACCTCTGATACCCGGCTTACGACCTCTACCTCCTTTGGCACCGCGCTTTTTGCCTTTCTTTCGACCAGCGGGAGCGTCATCGGAATCATCATCACTATCTAAGTGTCTAGCCTGGCGCACGTCATTTTGCATCTTGCGAATTCCTTTACCAAATTCACGATAATCAGGATCAGAGTCATCCGAATCACCACTATAACAATGTCAGTCCAATTTCAAACGCACGCTCTTCCTCCAAAGTAAACTTACCCAAAATCCATATCTAGAATGTCATCCACGCCGCCCTCCACCTGCTCTCGTCTCTGATTTCTCTGCTCCGTACTTGCTGCAGCAAATTCGGCCCTTGCATTGTCGAGGCTAAAACTACCAGTGCCTTGAGCTGGGATTGAGTCATGAGTAGGCCATATTAAATTTTGGCTCTGGCTTGCTTCTGGATCCGGGTACTGGTGACCTTGACCAGTGAAAGCATAGGCCGGTGATATATCATGAGAGTAACCAGACATTTTATCTAGAATCCTAAATATCGAAGCCTCTCACAGGTTTGATTACTTCTTAGAGTTTTTTTTATCTAAGAATTATTGGCTGTTGTGGTTATCATGCGCAACCTCAGCTGGGTAAGTTCTGTGTTCAGTGTATGTATTTCTCTTTCAAAAAGTATTCAAGAAATACATCTTCTTGAGGAGTCGGAAATGATTGAAATAGAATCTAAAGCTCAAAGTAAGTGCTCAGATGTACCACTGTAGGAAACGGAAAGGTAGTATCAAATGAATGTTTGTATAGAAAAGTATGTCACTTTTTTTATTTCGACGGAGGGAACAATGACAAGATCTAGAAGTTTAATATCTTAGCCTTGCATAAGGCTGATGAAATATTACAGACCGCCTTCCTTAAACGATAGAACTTTCCCCCACCTAAATTTCATTCAGCCCCGCGAAAGAATTAAACATCTACGAGTACAAATTTGTGATAAGAAAAAGTTATCGATTGTCGCAAAATACAACACAGCGAATGAGTTTCTCAACACAATTGTTCAATCTTCCTCAATAGAACTCAACTCTATTCGTTCAAAATGCCCTCCACCACTTTTTCTACTACCTCCCTCCCACCAAATTCCGCCCTCCAGAATCTCCTCAACTCCCAAACACCCACCCCCCTCGAAACCACCCACCCCGCCTACCTCCACCATCTCGCAACCACCATTCTCCAAAATCTACAACTCCAACACGATTGGACCTCCCTAACAATCCACACACACTCCCCCTTAACCTCGCACCCCCTCCCTCGTCCTCTAATCTCCGGATTACCTCCTCGACGCGCCTACATCCACCCCGACGAGCAAGTCGCCATCCTCAAAGCCGAGCATTCCTCCGGAGAAACCATTGCGCAATTTCCCGAGCGTGAATGGGTCCTGCCTACGCATCTGGAAGAAAAATGGAGTTTAGCACGCTTTGCAGAGGTGTTTGACGCTGTGGGGACTGTGCCTCCTGGTTCTGGAGCCGAGGGAAAGGAGGATGCTCACGAGGATGGCGAGGAGATTGTGGGAGGGAAGTGGCAGGGAGAAAATAGGCAGAAGAGGATACTTTTGGCGACGCTGCATGATGATAGTACGATTGTGTATTATATCATGCATGATGGAATTGTGAAGCCTCGACAGAATTGAAGGGGGCTTGATTGGATTACTATTCTAAGAGTCATTCAAACACCTGGATGTCTTGAATAGTTGATTTTTATGGAATGAGGAGCAACACAGCCGCCTTACACCTTTTAATGTACCGAAAACTCGACAACTCGGAAACTCAGTTCTTACACGGCAGATTTGTTGCCGACATGAGGATTGTATTTGCAAGCAAGATGGCTTACAGCAAACAGGTCAACGCTGAAATATTAGGCGTTATATCTAAAGCATAACCTTCGAGATTCGACCCTGCCAAACCTTTCGAGCTCATCATATCATTTCTAAGGTATACACCGAGAAGACACTACATTGAAGCCCTTGAAGGAAGAATATGATTCACGGCTGAGGGGGGAATGTCGTTGTGATCAAAACCCTCTAAAGGTTATCTGAGCTGCGGATGCTTGATTTGTTCCATGGGGTTCTGAAGAAAGTAGACCGGGCATCGTATATTGAAGGAGGGCACGCAATCATTAAATACGGATGGATATACTGGTACCACTATGCAGCCGTCGGAAACGCTCTCAACAGGCACATTACATCATACGCCTAGTCCAGTATAAGTCCAAGGCCAAGCTCCTTCCCCTACGAATTCTCAGGCGCGAGCGTGCGTGCTAGTCGGAATATCTTCGCCAATAACCACACTATAGTTATCTTTACTCCTCTGCTATATCTGCAGGTATCATCATAAATAGCCGTATCCATAAGCTAGCACCCAAGATACCCCCCTAAATAATCATGTTATATTGAGTCAATTCAAATCAGACCAGATCATTGTATAAGTATTCTGTATGTATCTCAAGTAGCGAACAGCTGGTGTTTCAGGAAAATTGCATACCTCCTAATACCGTATCCATATTCATAACCAAATCCCACATCCGTATCGCCATTCCTATCCTTCCTCCCTCCCAAATAAACCCCATAAACGCACTCCCATGAAAAAGAAAGGAAATCAAAAAACACCTGCTCATCTGTAACGCAGACTCCCAACCCAATCGTATATCCCGCTCTCGAGATTCTAAACTCCCGACATGTATGTAGTCGCTGTGTGTTCGATTGTGCGTGTGTAAAAGTAAAAGAAATCCTAATGCCAGACTCCTTATTTCCATCTCCCTTCCCCTTCATTCTCTCTCATCTCCGCTCCCTGCAATTCCATACCCTCCCTCTAACAAACATTACACAACAGCTCCGCCTCCAGAATATATTTCCCCTCCTTGTATTTCTCGCTAGCCTCGTATGCTTTATCGTATTTCCAGCCCACACACTCGTTACAGCGCTTGCAGGTTATGTCTCTGACGATGTGGCGGCCGGTCGTCATGTTTCTTTCTGAGGGGTCGCCGGGGAGGATGTTGACGACGGTGCCGAAGAGATAGGCTTTTCCGTGCTGGCCGCGAAAATTCTGGGAGAGGTTAGTTGGGATGTGGGAGGGGAGGGGAGGGGAGGAGGAAAGAGGAGCTTGGATATGATGTGAGGACTGGGAGTTGGGAACTAGGTGGGAAGTGCGGGGAAGGGAGGATAGATATAGATATAGCTATACGGATAAAGAAAGGCATAAACGAAATACAAGAGGAAAAAACGAACCCGTGAAATAATCTCCTCGTGCGTACTCAAATGCGTCTTGCAGCTCTTGCAGCCGTATATCTTATTACTGGTCAGGTATGTGTTATATGAAAGACCCATGATTTCGTCTTCCGGGTATCTTTCTTATTTCTGGAGGTCTTTTCGTTCTTCTCTTATTTTCTGATCTGGTCGTGAGGGGACAAGGGAGAGGGAGGTTCGTCAAGGCGAGAAGGAGGAGAAGATGGGGATATTCTCCAGATTTCGAGGTTATGTAGATACCTAGGTGAGGACTTGATGCTATTCTTCTCTGCGAGCGACGAATAATGTAGGATGTGGGATGTAGGATGTACCTAGGATGTAGACAATCAATGAGTGTAAGAGGCGAAGCAGACGCAGACAGAAAGCGTATTTGTATTTGTATTTTATCTAGGAGGCTTCCAAAGCGGTCGGGTCCCGTCAGGCTTTGCTGTCTCTCGTCCGTCTTGCCTGTTTGGTAGGAAATCACGTCAGGTGGTATTGTTTTGTGTTCAACTGCTGGTCTCAAGGTTGCAGACTTTGCTATGGAAGTATATTCCCAGAGGAGAGGTAAAAGTATGTAATCTAAAAGGATATTGGGTATTCGCGGCGGAAATAGGTGAGAGGGACAAGTCAAATGTTGATATGAGATGTTTGTTTGTCTGTCAAAAGGCTTTATCGTGGTCTCTTATCGCCTTATCCGAATGGCGGTACGGGTGGGTGGGATCGCGGGATTTATCGTTTGTTAGCGTGAGGAGTAGAGGGAGATGAGTGAATGGGTGGATGGGTGGATGGATGAATCGGGGAATCAATCGATCAAATGACCTTTAAGTTCCAAGCTTGTTAAAATAGAGGCACAGGAGCTAATGACGTTCTTTGATCGATGATTTATTAAATGATTTATTAACAATGAGTAATTTCGTATAAATCAGCTGAGTGATCAATGACAGGTAGGTATTCAAGCATTTATCAGAATGTTTCAGACCCTGTCATTTCTAACTTTCACATTCATTGTTACATGCATATTGAAGCATCTAGAGGTTTCCTCGCTACACTCCTTATATCCTGAGCGACGATCAGATTAACAAAAGGGGATGCAACCTCATTCTCAATTTCCAACACTCATAGCGAAAGCAAAGGATCTGGAAATGAACAATACATAAATTCAAGTCAACAGTCCAGTTCTCCAACAAACGTCCCAACCAATTTCTCAAGGTTTCTCGCCATGTATACAGCCTCTTAGAGCGTCACAGCATAAGAGTTCCAATGAAATATGAACTGCGATTCGTATAATCATATGTGCATTCCAACTACGCTCACTAGCTATACAAGCTCACCAGAACCTAATCCCAATATCCAACCAAATCAAATTTGTCGATTTCGACCTACGACTATTCCATCAACCCCTAAGCTAAAATATACAAAGAATGAAGATCTCCTTTCGTTCCCAAGCTACACCCAGACTCCCTCCTACCAGGAGAAAGCTTCTTCTACGAAATCAATATTTCCATTGTACTGATGTTTCCTCACTGCGCTCCTCACATCATCACTCAACGCACCACTTCCACACACCGATACTCCCATCGCTCCTACTTGATTTTCCATTTCGATTTCCAACAGGGTCTCGATGTTCGGTCTACCAGGGAACATCTGTACGGTAGCCGACGGACTATGGATTTCCTTTGTCGATCTTGGTCTACTGACGAATAACATAATTCTCAAGACTTCGCGACGTTTATCCATTGCGAGAATGGAGGTCATCCATGGTCTAATCCATTCGAGATGTTCTGGCGATTGAATAGTCCAGACGAGAACAATTTTTCGGGCTGCGACGGTTCCATTTGCGTATCCGGCAACAAGGTCTCTTACGTGTGGGACTTGATGAGTGATACCGACTCCTCCGGCAAACAACATGACTGTGCCGTAAGAGTGCATCATATGCATTCCTCCGTATGGACCCTCAGCCCAACACTTGGTATAGAGTTTTCCATCTGGGGAAGCCTCGGCTTTCTTGAAAAGCTTTTCAGTAAATCCAGTTCGAGCTCGAATGACAAATGAGATGCTTGTCTTTTGCATAGCGAGGATATCTTGACGGTTCATGGCTAATTTTTCGTCTGATAAATCTTCTGCTTCTTCTGACCAAGCGACCGAGAAAGGGTGAGATTGGAATAGTCCGATGGATGGCATGTAGAGATATGCGTGTTGACCGGGCTTGAATTTCCATGGTCGTGCCATATCAACGGTAACACGAACGGCATTTCCTGGAAGGGCTTCTACCAATGTTCTAGATCCACCTTTTCCGAAGTTTCGGTACGCAACAGTAAGTACTCTATAGACGCGTTCAGTAACCCAAAGGATAATGGCTCCCCAGAGAAGTTTTAATTGTGGGAGGTCAGATAACTTCAAGTGGTAATAGATGCCGATGATGACAACGATAACCAGTGCGATGTGAAGATATTTAAAGATCTCATATGCGGCATGGCGAATAGGCGAGCTAGCCTGGATCATGATTACAATGGCGGCGATCGTAGCCTACGAGTTTTTAGTCCAAGTCTCAATAGATTTTGATTTCAGAGACAACTTACGATAGCACCATATGTGAGCATAGAACTCTTGCCAATCGACGCCCAAACGGCAGACCAACCAGAAGTATGAACTTTGGCGGCAGCCCAAGCAGCAACATGGGCAATCATTTGAAGGGTTACGATTCTTCCAGTCCATCTGTGCAAAAGGTTGAAAGTATCAAAGGAACAATTGAGCCAGTTGATCAGAGGGTTATTTCGGGCAGCCATAATGAAGAGGGGAATCTAAAAGACAATTAGCACGTGATGGACATAACAACCCATCATTCTTCCAACTTACCATGTTAACGACGGCAAGGATACCGGTTCTATTCCTAAGTTGCTGAGCTACGGTTGCATATGACTGATCCCAGGTAATGCTAACAACACAGAAAGCAATGTTGGTTCCGAAATAAGCCAAGAGAAAGGCAAGTTGAAACCTAGTAGGAAGAGTACCGACGTTAATGGCTCTTCCCATTTGGATTTCTCTGTTATGTCTCTTGCTCAAGACAGGAGCATAAAGAACATGCTTCTTGAATTTCGCAAAGCCGGAAGAAGGAATAGCGAAATATCTTTGCGTCTCGTTGTTGAGTGATGCCATGGTTCGAATATATTTGACAGATTCCATGACCACTCTCCACGTAACCATACCACCGATCAAAGCCGCGAGAACAATGAAAATGTAATCATGAAAATCCTGGTTGAACATTGCGGCTTTGGCTTTGAGAGCCTTTGCAGCGGCGGCAGCAGCCTGTGCGGCGGGTGTGGTTGCGGTTGTTGAAGAACTTCCTGATGATGGTGCTTCACCAGCCACTATTTCGACCAGGGCGAGAACCGCCACAAATATCGAAGAGGAAAACATAATTGTGAAGAATACCTAGGTATCTAACAGATTTAAGAGTTGTATTTGGAGTATTCAGATCGACGTAATATGAAGTATGTAATGATCGATTGACAAATAAGATTTGATGTTCAACCCAGACCAGCCCGAGATGTAAAATTGCAATACCGAGGGGTGATTTCGTGTGTAGTAGACGATCTTGCGTCGTTAGATATTTCGTAAGTGAATGAGCGAGCGGAGTGGGCGATAGATTCCGTGAATAACCAGATTCAAGACAAATAAGAATCGATCGTCAAGCGTATATCGAAATGTCGAAAAGTAGAAGGATGGTAAAGTGGGTTGAAGGAATGTAAGTGAACCAAAAAATGTTCAAAAAAGGCGTTATCCAGACGTCGACGAAGAGAAGGTGGTGTTTGTGGAAAAGGTAAAAGTTGAGGATAAGAAATCTAGAGAAGTCAAATTTGTGGAGGTGGGTGGGAAGGAGATTGGAAATGAATAAAATGTTTTAAGGCTTGGCTTTTGCTCGGAATGCTATTCCTAATGAAATGGATGGATAGATGGGATGGATACATACATACCTTTCCTCTTGAATATGCACCGCGGGGAAAAATAAATGAATTTTATTTATTAATCCTGGGCGCTTCGAATAGAATAGAAAATATAAGATATATTGATAGGGTAGCGGGCAACGGTATGTGTAGTGTAGAAGTAGGAATACCTGGCAAGAATAAGAATAAGACGACCGTCTAGACAAAGTAGTCGAATCGAAATTGAGGGATTGTTTGAGAAGGAAAATAGAATCTAAATCTAGAAAAGACCAGCAAACAGTCACTTCAGAGAAGAGGTCGAAAATGAAGGATATCTCTAGATATGTACCGAGTGAGTTACAACATCTAATCACTCTCTTTCGCACTCTTTCTTTTCTTTTTCTCTTCTTGCTAGCCAGAAGACCAGGGCGGAACGGAAGTCAATATATCAAAAACCTAACCTTACAAACTCTTTTCTTTCCCCCAAAGTTCGGATTTCACAATTCGAAATTGAACCATGGATTGGATGGGGTTACGTATGTTGAGTTTAGCAAGGATCCAAGCTGTGTTTGCCTCTTCCAATGTTCAGGACAGGATTGGATGATGTGTGGACGGGGATTAACACACGCAGGACACTTCTTGTTTGGGCTACCGCTGCAAGGTACAGAGATTCTATGTCGATAGGCCTTGGCGGCCTTGCAGAATTGATTTAGGTACAGTAGTTGTAACTTGTCTTATGTATGGGGTCGACGGTGATAGGTTCTTAGTCAAATCATATGCTTTCTTTTGCCTGGGAGAGTGTATAAAGTTGTGAAAAGGGGAAAGTGGAAGCGAATATCATGCGCACAGAAGGATAGGAAGAGGGCGATGAATGGAAAAAATATGGGGATGATGGATTGATTGAGAATCACCTACAGCCCGCGATTGTCACAAAGATAGCCTATCGTCTCATCTTTAATCATGTCGTGGATACATGCTCAGGTCTTGGTATGGGTCTGCTACTAGGCTGCGTGTGGATGGTTCTTAAGGTCCTACCTAGGTAGAGAGGAGTGGTCTTGGTCAGAATATGGTGTGCATACGTATTTTTGATGTAGCAAGTTTGAGGCATCCGACCTGACGATCGTGAACGGGATGGGTGAGAGAAGGTCGAAGGTCCGATAGCTGGTCTCATGTCTAGATAGTAGACGGTAGATAGTGACAATGGTGAGAACTACTCAGTGGAGGTTGGATTTCTCGGCATAATTGTCGTGCTCTATTGTTATTCACGATACACAGAATGTCGCGGTCATTGCAAGAATTTTCAGCATGCAGATTTATATTGATTAATAGATGAATTGGTAGTATGTTTTCCCAAGTGTTGTGATACTTTGACAGGATGAATGCAAGTGCCGAAGGGTCGGTGGTGACACAGGATGGATGGGATGGCAGTTATTTCTGGCGTTCGTTTCAATAGTCCCGGATTAGCTACCATGGTAGATGACGAAGTTTGCATTATCTGTGCCCAAGTAGACCTTTCATCTGTGGCTGAGTAGGTGTATATATTGGCTGTCCACAACCACTCTAGAGTGTTCACCTAACAACGAGAGGTCTTTAACTTCCTGCCGACCACTCAGTAAAAGTCGAGAGAGAGAAGAGCATGACATACAGAGTAAATACTGATTGGCTCAAATAAGTTTGTAAATCGGGGGTATAATCTGATCAAGTAGATGTGGAGATTTGTGTTGCGTTTATCGTTTCAGAAATTCATAAATATATGCAAGAAGCGAAAGGGGACGAGAAGGACGTGCTCATGACAGGGGTTCGGTACCGAAAATTAAGGGAGTCAGCAGTCAAACAAAAAAGCATGCATCGAGATAGGGTTTGTAGCTGAGAAGGAAGAATAAGCAACCTTCGCAGTAAGAACTTTCTTATTGAGCTCTTCGATTGGATAAATAATTCTTCAAGTAGAGAGGCACAATACATGGTAGTGTCCTAGCGATGTCATTCTGCGAAATAATGGTACCCTATTAGATTAGCTCATGCTGGCCCTAATGTTGGTGGATTAACAGCTTGGCGATGTGAGGATTAAATATCCCGAATGGTCCCTTGCAGTCTTTAGAGACTACAGGTTGACAAATTAAATCCGTACAGTATCTCTCTCAGCGCCAAGAGTATCCTCTAGGATTTCGTGGGAATATCGCGATGGAGGCCAGAGAAGGTTATCCGTAGGATGAGCCTCTACATAGCCTTGTAGGTCATCTGTTCATCTGTCGAAGAGAAGATCTTGAGTCTAGAAGCCGAAAGTTGGTGATGCAATGAATAGTCATGATAATCATTCAGGTGGTGAACGGGTCGGTCCATCGTCCTTACAATGTATATAGTGTTAGTACCTTACCAACAATTAGAAATGACTTTCGATCATAATCTTTTCGCGCATATATTAATACTCAAGATATAGATCACCAATAATGCACGCCAATCTTTACAATTTCGCGATCACGCATAAAAGTGTTTCTTCCTACGAAGTACAGAAGCCGTCAAGTACCACCGCATACGAAAATCCTCATCGCCTCTTCCTCTGCCCCCTTCATTGAAGATTAGAGATCCCTAGGAACTCACAAGTCACCAGACAAAACAAACGACTAACTGCTGATCCATAGGTAGCATCGCATCGCAAAAATCCTTTCGCTCTGGAAGCCTCACTGCGATTAGACATCATTCCATTTTTATATATTTGTAATCCAGTCGAACAGATCAGCGCGTAAGTCCTGTGAGATGATCTAATTAATCTGTGCCCTCAATAATGCATCGCAGTACGATGTACGATGTACAAAACAACAGAAGCCCAAAAAACATTACTCCTTCCCAAAGTTCTACAATATATCATCTATCGCACACTAAATCCCTTGCTAGAAATTAACATGCAACAGCTGCTGCTGCAAGCCTGCAATACATTCTCCAAAAGGCAACACATGCCGTAAACAAACAAACCAACAAACAAACAAACCGTAACATCTAAAACTCATCCAGGAATGTCATTTCGAACCCTAAATCCATGAAGTCAGGGAAATCCATACAACGACCCTGCCAACATGTTTCAGCAAAATGAATTTTATTCCTTGTCGACGATATCATATCCGTATCCATATCCATATCCATATCTATACCCACCACCCATATCATTATCCCAATGCAATACGAACTACAAAATCTTGAAAAGTAATATATTTGAATTTCGTTCGTATCGAGGTATCTAGGTATGTATTCTAGAACTCTGTACTCCGCACAGAGGAGAGTCAATCTGCCTTTTCTCCGTCGAAAGAATACGATGTATGTAACCTTATGTAACCGATCAACATACTGTACCACAATGGTAGCAAGGTCTATTTACACCTACCTACACACAATGCAACCATTTAAATTGACATACTCTTCTACCCATCGGTCCCGATAGCGACTATAACCTCCGATACCCCCTGGCAAGGAAAACCCCTTCCTCCCTACCTACATATTTATGAAACCTTCTCTACGATATCATCCATCCATCCATCCATCATCATAATCATATATCCAATACACTCACTCATCCACCGGTGATCCATTCCCCCAGAATCCACCACCACACCAACCCAGAAATTCCCGCCGTTTTTACATCAAAAGCCCAGATGACAGCAATGACAGCAACGACGTGACAAACAACAAATGACAAGCACTACATTCCTTGCTCTCCAAAACTCAACCCCTAGTCTCACTATGCATTCATTCATTCATTCATTCATTCATTCATTCATTCATTCATTCATTCATTCATTCATTCATTCATTCATTCATTCATTTCCAAATCTAAAATTCCCCTCGAAAAAAGCTAAGCATTCAGCAACTACACAGCAGTACAATACAATACCTAGGCTGAGCTAGGTACATATTCACAGCGTCTACATGGATACCGTAATTATCGAGCGGAGCCTGGACAGCGCTGGTGCTCGCACTTTCACAATGACATACGATCTGGAGACAATAATGGAGACGAAATGGAGACGTCGGAACGGATAATGGATACTTACATAGCTAGAAATAGAACATAACACTAGGGCAAGGTGCAAAAAATATTCCATTACGTAGCGCACAAGGCAGTGATATTTCGAGAGTGGATTGAAGATGCCTTGAAATATCTACTTCGTACTTTGTACATGATTCAATTTTACAACAACGAAGAGCGGATGAGTTGCTGGATTAAAGATATTTTGGAGCTGGTCGCCCGCTCACCCTCTCATAAAATTGGCGGAACAAGTCCCGGAAGAGCCTCCGCTGCATTGATAAATGGGTATATACTAGATGAGAGATGTACACCATATAATGTATTAAATTCAGCTCACAGATTCACCGATACATGGCGGGAAAAGCCTTCCTATGTATCGCATAAGTTTGTATTAGAGTATTAAAATATGCCAGGAAATATCTGTGTTTCCAACAGTGACATTGGCACATCCAAATCGCAAAGATCCTTTGCGGCTCCAACCAAAGCTACGCTTTGTCAAATGACGCGTAACGCATTCCTTAACACCAATCGTATACAAGATAAACCGAGCATTGTACCCAAATCATGATGGCATTCCTGATCAGTAAAGATCAGCTGAATCCAACCGTCCATATCCACGTGCGCCAAGCCAACCTCAGACACCTATGCTTTCATGCCCAATTGCATGCAAATACTTTTTCATACATTAATCATCGCATCGTCGTCCTATGAAGGACTCGTGTTGCCTTTTGACAATAATAACCGTGTTCTAGCAATCCGATGATCTAATTGCCAAATGCTCTCTCATTATAGACAGAGCATGAAAATTGCCGATGTCACAGGTTCCTCCATTGAAACTCCACGCTACACTTTCCCAAAAGCTCCTTGATAGTTACTAAATCCGCAAGAGTAGTCGTCGTCTGCTTTGTTGTTCTACAAATCCATAGTCGTTTCATGAAACATCGTCGTCTCGAGAGGCAACAATCCCCCATTTAGCTATATAGAGATTTAGCCGATGTATATGCCGTCTCACATACCCAATTCATCTTCACTGAATGGCGACTGTTCCCTGGTGAGTGGATTTTCTTTTTGTCGCTTAGTATTGACCAATTTAAATCGACTTCGAGGTGCCGCGTTTCCGAGATCTTTCAAAACACGATGATTTTCGAATGATCCATGGCTGAAGCTGAGTTCATCGTCACTGCTATTGTTATAGAAGATGCCTAAGGATGCGGCGTTCCCTCTTCCTGTTCCCATTTGAGTTCTTGATGGTGCTTGCATTTCTGGCCCGGTAGATTGTTCGTGGTCAATATTATCACGTTTCCTCTTTGTTCCTCGACTTAATCGTATAGGTCGTTGTGAGCGGACAATTGAAGGCGATTCAAGCTCGACTTCTTCATTCTCAAAGTCGGTAGTCATGCCTTTGGCTTTGTTGATATTGGTGGCAGGTGTTGTTGTTACCCAAGAGCTTATGCCTTCTTCCCACCTAAAATTTGTCGATTCACGGCGAGCCTCTGTTGTCGTCAATTCCGGCCTCTTTGGGCCACCTGCATGGAGCTCGCTATCCATAGAATCCGCGTAGTCGAGGTATTTTTGGCCCGGTGTCACTCGTGCGAAGGCAAATGCGCTATCCACAACAAACCCATGCCAGATTGCCCTCGCCTTTAAATCTCTACCTGTATTCACCTTTTTGAGTCTCCGATGTATATACTGGAGATGTTCGAAACCAGAGGTAGAAGCTCCTTTTCCACAACAACGAGCCACTGAAGTTAAAAACTTAACAGCCTCATCGTAGGCAGATAACGGCTTTTGGACAAACGAAAAAGGGGCTTCGATATTTGACTTTGCATTCCCTGCGTCTTCTACACACGTCTCGTACAGAGAGTTGATAATGAAATCTGGGATATCATCTGCATTAGGCTCAGTCACTAGACATGCCAGGGAAAAAATAGTACTTCTGAGAGCATTTTCCTTGTTGTTACGCCCGACGATCTCGAGACAATTCTTCAAAAGCTTGTAATGAGTATTGCTAATGATGCTGAAGTGGTCAAACTCCTGTATTTCATGTTGAGTCAAATATCCCACCGGTGTGTCCATTGCCACCGGTAATTTTCCCGCACCCTCATCTTCGCCTTCAAGCTCCCCTTCACCCCTACTGAGGAGTATGATGGATGTAATCGTTGTCAGCACGCTTAACAATGTTGATCTGCATATTTCATGAAAGCCCGTATCCGTCGAGGAGTTAGGCAGTGCCACGTAATTTACAAGGCGTGGCAGCATGGCATCCACGAGCATCGTAGCATCTGCTCTCGTATGATTCAATGATAAATCCTGCATCAAACCAGTCCATACCGGGGCAAATGCTGATGTTGCTACCCATGGGAGTGGAAGGTTTCCACTTTGAATTAACAAGGAGAATTGTCGATATGCAAACCCTGTACGAACTGTCTCTTCGACGAAGCTACGAAGCGTGGCCAGTGGCCCAGGCAACGCATGATTTTGAGCTCTTTGGTTTGGAGCAGGAGACTTATATACTGAAAGTAGACTTGAAAGTAATAGTTCTGCTTCGTCGTAATGTCCTGAATATATACAAAGATCGACGAGTAGTTCACTAAAGTTGAATTCCAAAAGCCCTTCCAAAATTGCATCGCAAATTATCTGAACACCATGAGCTCGAACGAGTATTCGAAGGTGTTTCCAGCCCCGATCAGATACATCAAATAACCGCTCGAGTTCATCGTAAGTCTCTGTAGAGATATCCCTCTTTTCAATGGCCGAGTAAGAACCTACATTCTTGATCTCACTAAATAACAATTTTTCCTCCATGGTAATACACTTTGGTACTGTTGTGAGGCACATAGATAGCAATGATTTGGGTCCTCTTCTGTGATTCTTATGTGTAGTAGAACGTGTTGCCTTCAGTAATGCATCAAGGCCATTATAAATACCTTCTAGAGTATGAAAGCTAGTAGCACCCATTGTAGCCCGCATCTTGTTCAAAACTTGAGCGCTATTACCTGTTGGGCGAGCGCGGATAGGCGCATCCGTAGCTAGAATAGACTTTGGCCTCCTTTGTTGGCAATCCTCAGGAATAGTCCATATTGGGAGATAGGGTGGGTTGGTTTGTCTCCACGGTGCAGATGGTCTCCATGCTCGGTTAAGTACTGGCGTTGGAACTGCAATATCTTCAGTTGAAAGATCAGTTAAGGATACCACTCTCCCATATGGTGGTAGCTGGAGAGAAGGTTCTGAGACGTCGACCTGTCGCCCCGGTCCTCTGGTGTCTCTTCTTTTACATGTTGATTTCCCGCTATACGTCGTACCGATCCTCTTTCGAACGCCCCAGATTGGATCGTCTGATGCATCGATGTTGTTATCAAAGAGCGATTTGCCCTTTTTAGGTTGGGCGTTTACACAGTTGAGGGAGCTCTGTTTATTCTTACGCAGAATTGCAATCCGGGAGGTTAAAGGCCGTAATAAACGATTGCATCGAGCTGTAGTCCAATCCTTTTCAATATCCTGATCAAGTCGGCCGTTATTCAACGTTGATTCATCGCGTCGCACTGGAGTGAAACTACTGGAGAAGCTTTCCGATTCTGTTCCCAATGGAACATCCCCTTCCTCCATGATATTAACCTATAGTTTGGATCATTAATTTAATCAAACCCCAGTCAAAGAAGCGAGGATCAAGCATACTGATTCCTATTGAGTTGGATGTATTAATTGGATTCTGCGCGATAAGTGACAAGACAGAATCGCAATTCTCGCAGCAAATAATTATACTCTATAGAAGAATGCAAGAAGCAATAATCTAGAGAATGAATCTTTAATAGCAAAAGAAATTAAGAATTGTATGCAAATAAGAAAGGTAAGGTTGATGTTGTTTGATGTTGATGTTTTTTTGAGAGAGAGAGGAGGCTCGCTAGGTATATGTAGTGAACAAATGCCGTGTCGTGGTGATGTCAGCAAGGATTGTCATAATACTGGTACGGGCCGGGTTTTTCCGTGCGTTCAACTAAATTTTGTACTTTCCCTTTTGGATTTGAAGAAAACGGAATAAATTTATTCTTCACTTGCATATAATTCATCCATAACAGAAGAGGGGTTTTTTTCTTTTCTCTCTACACTCCATTTGTACAACAAAATCAACAAAGTCTTTTTTGAATTCCTGCCATTCCTTGTGTTGGAATATCGATTTTTGCCTTCTTCTCTTATTATTGTATTATACCTACTTAAGAGAGCTTTTCAAGGTACAAAATGGCTGTTAACAATGAGGTTAACAACACCACTTCTGGTAAGCCACCCCAAGCACTTTATAGAGCTCGAAAAGCACTTCAATCTACATATATGTTCAAGTTTTACCTCAATTGATCTTGTCATTCCAATGTGTGGCCTACCATGAGTCATCTACTAACATTCAATGTCTTTAGAAACCCCCACCGATGTTTCAAGCAGCTCGCAAAAGCTTGCCACTGAAGAGACTGCCATAACTAATGGTGTTGACCATGAAGAAGAAGATGGTGGGGAAGCGGGCGGTGAAGGTAGGATCAGTTGGCAATTTAAAGACTTATCCAGATTTTATGCTAATGCGAGAACGTAGTCTTTCAATTGACTGTGGTGCTTCCCCGCGAGCCCCATAAAATTCAGATCATCGTGAGTGAAACCCCCTCACAAAATATGCAGGTTCAATGCTCAGATGGCTAGGTCTCTTCTCAAGAAGCTATACACGATGTTCGCCAATCAATAATCGAGCTGCCCGGAACCTTCCAGTACTCATGTTTCCATCTTGAGCACAAGGGAGAGAGAATAAATGACTTCGTTCAGATATCCGAGGTCCCTGGCTTAACGGCGGACTCAGAAATACACTTAGTCGAGGACCCGTACACAGAGAAGGAGGCAAGAATACATATCATCAGAGTACGGGAGCTTATTGGTGCTGCCGGGGATCGTACCGATACCTTGAATGGTATTATTTCAGGAGCTTCGCTGCTTGATTCGGTTACATCAAAGGAATCCAGTCAAAACGGCACGAGTACAGCTCCTTCACATCCAATGGTTGGATTTGACTTCCAAGCTTCCGGCAATCTCTCGACCCTTCTACCAAGAGCACAAGAGCCAGGGCCAAAGACTGTCAAGTCAATTTCAGTCTCTCCTTGGAATCCCCCACCCTACCATCTTAGACAGAAGGGACATTTGCTCTATCTACAGGTCACTACAAACGAGGGGGAGCAATTCCAGATCACATCTCACGTATCTGGCTTCTACGTGAACAAATCCTCAACAGGCAAATTTGATCCATCGCCAAAATCTGCGCCAAAAGCTCATTCCGCGCACTCACTTTTAGCACTTCTTAGTGATTTGTCTCCATCATTTGAGGAGTCCTTCAAGAGTCTCCAGGAATATAACAATACCAAAGAACCTTTGGCTACATTCCAAATCACAAATGCAACTCCCTCAAACCCTTGGATTGTGCCATCAGCAACGGCGCCTCTTGTTGCACATCAAGCTGATATAACACGCACTCAAGAAAATTATTTAATTGCTGGTATTGAAAACAGCGAGACTTTGCGGGATTGGAACGAAGAATTTCAGTCTACTAGAGAACTACCAAAAGACACCGTTCAGGATCGTGTATTCCGAGAGCGATTGACTTCGAAGTTGTTCGCTGACTACAACGATGCTGCAGCTCGTGGTGCGATTCTAGTTGCTAGGGGTGAAATAGCTCCTCTCAACCCAACAGAAGGCAAAGATGCTCAAATTTTCGTCTACAATAACGTTTTCTTTTCCTTTGGAGCCGACGGTGTGGGTACTTTTGCCTCAGAGGGTGGTGACGAGGCCGCTAGAGCAGCAGTAGGCAAGGATGTTATGGGAGTCCGTATGGTCAACCAATTGGATATTGATGGCTTGTTTACTCCAGGGACTGTAGTTGTTGATTATCTTGGAAAGCGTATTGTTGGACAAAGTATTGTGCCAGGAATATTCAAACAGCGTGACCCAGGCGAGAACCAAATCGACTATGGTGCAGTGGATGGCAAGGACATTGTCGCATCGGATGAGAAGTTTGTGTCTGTTTTCGAGAAGCTTTCTAAGGCCTTGAAAGTCAAAAAGCATGCAGTTTGGGACAAAGATGCAAAGCGTCATGATCTCGAAGGCAGTATCGAAACTAAGGGTCTTTTGGGTACTGACGGAAGAAAGTACGTTCTTGATTTGTACAGAGTTACCCCATTGGATATTACTTGGATGGAGGAAGTCGGTACTGCACTTGACAGCCCCAAGGAGGTTGATGCGGCGAGTGAATCTGCATATCCACATCGCATGACAGTTATCCGACCTGAATTAGTGGAATCTTACTGGAAAGTAAAGATGCGCGAATGGGTAAACGGCGAATTGGAACGTAAGCGCCAGGCTCAGAAAGCCGTTGAGCCTACTGCCGAAGGAAAGGAAATCGAGGCTGCAACTGAGGCATCGGAGCCAGCTAAAAGCGAGGAGCCAACCCAGAATGGAGAATTGACCAAGAAGAGCGAATCGGATGAGGTTGCAGAACCCAGCAAGCCTGATCAGGAAAGAATTGATATTGGCGATTTCAAGTTTGCATTGAACCCAGATGCTTTCAGTGGACAGCAGCCACAAACCGATGAAGAGAAGGCCGAATTTGCCGAGGATGAACAACAAGTTCGATTGGTTTGTGAATTCTTGCGCAAGACAGTGTTACCTGAACTTGTGAAGGATCTTAAGGAAGGTGATGTTGGTTTCCCTATGGATGGACAGTCTTTGAGCAGGCTCCTTCATAAACGTGGTATCAATCTCAGATACCTCGGCCAAGTGGCCACTCTTGCGGATGGCAAGAGACTCGAATCCCTACGCATTTTGGCGGTTCAAGAGATGGTGGCGAGAGCATTTAAGCATGTTGCTGGCAACTATCTCCGTTACCTCCCTATTCCTTTGACGAGCTCATGCATTGCCCATCTGCTCAATTGCTTGCTCGGCACAGATTTGAACGCAGCTCCAAAACCAGATGTGGATGAGGCCATAGCTGCGCTTTATCCAGAGGCAGATTTGAAATTCAAGGAGGTTACCCCTGAGAGTCTTAAGCAAGAGATTGAAGGTCAAGTTCTCCGTCGCTTCCGCTACACCCTTGACTCTACATGGACTGCAGGTATCAAACACTTGCAACTTCTTCGCGAAGTTTCCTTGAAGCTTGGTATCCAATTGGAGATGAAGCATTACCATTTCACAAAGCAATCGCAGACTGAAGCAGCAGCAGCTCCACCGGCAACTAATGGTGAGGCCACAAAGGACGCGGCCCCCACCGGAAAGAGCACCAACGGCAAGAAGAAGAAGAAGAATGCCCGTGAAGCCTCTCCTGCTTCTGTTGTATCTGCAAATGCCGCATCGCCTGTCACCTTCAACCCAGATGACATCCTTAACACCGTACCAATCATCAAAGAGGCGTCTCCAAGAAGCTCCCTTGCAGAAGAAGCTTTGGAAGCTGGACGTATTTCTCTTCTACAAGACCAAAAGAAGCTGGGCCAAGAATTGCTCTTGGAGTCTTTGTCATTACACGAGCAAATTTATGGCATTCTTCACCCTGAAGTGGCGAGAGTATACAACTCCTTGTCGATGCTCTATTATCAACTCGACGAGAAGGAGGCTGCTATGGAACTCGCCCGCAAGGCTGTTATAGTTTCCGAGAGAACATTAGGCGTTGACAATGCTGAGACACTTTTGAACTATCTCAACCTTGGACTCATTGCACACGCAAGTGGAGAGACCAAGTTGGCTTTGACATACATCAAGCACGCTTTGGATTTGTGGAAGGTTGTCTATGGTCCAAACCATCCTGACTCCATCACAACAATCAACAATGCTGCAGTTATGCTGCAACACTTGAAGGAGTATCACGATTCTCGCACATGGTTTGAAGCATCCCTCAAGATTTGTGAGGAGGTGTACGGAAAGCATTCTATCAATGCTGCAACTTTACTCTTCCAATTGGCTCAAGCTTTGGCATTGGATCAAGACTCCAAATCCGCTGTCAACCGTATGCGCGAGTCTTACAACATCTTCCTTACTGAGTTAGGTGCAGAGGACAAGAACACCAAGGAAGCAGAGAAATGGCTTGAACAGCTTACTCAAAATGCTGTATCGATTGCCAAACACGCAAAGGATGTTCAAGCCCGCAGAAACAGAGGAATTCGTGTCTCTCCTCGTGTCACTCTTGGACAGACCCAAGTCCAACCCCAAATCGGCCAAACTGTTGAGGCTGCTGCTGGTCGAGATACCCCTAGGGGACTCGATTCCCGAAGCATTGATGAGCTCCTCAAATTTATTGAAGGAAGCGATCAAAGCAACCAAAACAAGAAACGACCTGGACGAAGCAACCCAAAACGACGAGGAGGTGCTGCGGCCGCCGCTGGTAAATAAGGCATAGGGTCGGAGTATAAAATCTAAAATTTAGCATTGGGCGGCGTAAAAGTCATTAAAATTCATTTCTTCAAGCAGTGTATCAACAATCCGTTTTCATTTACCTCTTTCACATACTTGGGAGTGGAATTGGCTGGTTAGCATTTACGTGTCTATGTTTTACGACCCGATTTGATGTATAAACTGAATAGCCCATGGGATAT